AGCTTTGTTGATACCACAATCATTGTGAGTACCATAAAACTTTGTTAGATTATCTTTCTTATCTACTGATATCCCTCTGGGTTATTATGTTAACAATATCACCAGAATGTGAAAATGAGAGTTTTTTACACCAAGTTCACATGTGTGCACACAAAGGCAATCACACTATGACTGTCTCTGATCAACAGTGTTCTTACAATATTAATTTTATGATGCATCTCTATTTGAAAGATGTAAAAAATACACCCTTTAAAATAAATGGAACACACTCTTTTTCTCTATGACTGCCTGCTTTTCAGCAAAAAATCTTGGTGGTTTATCTGATGTATTCTGGTCTATTATTAAAGAAACATGCTCAACTACAGTTTCAAATTAGTTGAACAACTGGGCTTACCCACTACCTCAGGATTAGAAGTAGTGTTATTACTGGACTACAAGAATTCCTATTTTAAATGTTGCTGTGAATTATTTGAATTTTGTATTATTTCGGCATTTATTTTGGATTCAGGTTTGACTTGCTCACACCAGAAACAGGGTCTGCCAGTTTCCAGTTTGTGCCCTCTTCCAACTTCCTCAACGTGGTAATTCCAGATTTGTCCTTATAAAATGCTCTCTAGGTAACTACTCCATGTAGGACAGCTGGACACAACACTTAACTCACCCCCACAGATCCTTCAGGGAAATGCATAGATATTCTGCAATAACCATCTCTTGGTCACAGCACGACACTATGGAATCATGGTTGCTTGACATTAACCCAGCACTTTGACCTCCTCATGAGAAACTTGCTTGGTTAACACTCCAAAACCCAACTGTGATGTTTAGTTTTAGGAGTCAACTAACTGTATTAGGGAACACCTAGAACACTGGTAAAGCATTACTTTTGGGTCTGTGAGGGTTTCACCAGAAAAGTCTGATGTGTGAGTCAGTGGACAGAGTGGGTAGATCCTGTGATAGAGCAGGGACCCCTTGTTAGGGGCCTGTAGCTTCCCCAAGCAGGGAAATAAAGGAAAATCGTGAGTCCCTTCAAGGCAAATCCCAGGTACCCAGCTAGCACTGAGAAGGAAACGAGGAACTTGATAAGCAATAAGGTAATAGTAGCCTAAACAATAGCCAAGGATGTTACAGTCAGAAGATGTTTGTTTTTTGTTCCCTATGGAAAACAAAGATACCGTCTTAACATACATTGCTGAGTCACTTTTCATAAACCTGGACCCCCACATAATGGATCTGCTGACACACAGTCCTCAGATAAGAGATGTCTGAAGGTTGAACTCTGACTGCTGTTCTTTGTCCTAAATGTCTTCCTGAGGGGCCTACAGGGAGTCACATCCATGAGCCAGAGCTAACATGTTTTTCTACTGACCCCAAATTTTTAAACAAAGCTTCTCTTTTTAACCAATTGCAAATCAGAAACCCTTGAATCTGTATATGACCTATAAGCCCCCACTTGACCACTGCTTCAACATATCCCATCCTTGGCCGGGAGTGGTGGCTCACACCTGTAATCCCAGTACTTTGGGAGGCCGAAGCAGGTGGATCACAAAGTCAGGAGTTAGAGACCAGCCTGGCCAATATGGTGAAACCCTGTCTGTACTAAAAATACAAAAATTAGCCAGCTGTGGTGGTGGGCACCTGCAGTCACAGCTACTCGGGAGGCTGAGGAAGGAGAATTGCTTGAACCCGAGAGGCGGAGGTTGCAGTGGGCCAAGATCACACCAGTGCACTCCAGCCCGGGCAGCAGAGCAAGACTCTGTCTCCAGAAAAAAAAAAAAAAAAAAAAAGGATACCTCATCGTTTTAGAACAAAACCAATGCAAAGCTCCATGTACTGATTTATAGTTTTGCCAATAACTTCTGCTTCCCTGAAATTTACCTCTTCTGTTAACAACCCTTACCTACAAGTCATTAGGGAAGTGGGAACTTAAGCATTAGCTGTGTGATTCTCCTTGCTTGACACCATGGACATAAACATCTACTTTTCTCCCACAGCAAACATCAGTGTAGATACCTGGTCTTGCTGCACTGTGTGAGCAGACCCCAGTTCAGTTCTGTAACAATCCACTCACTTTGTGTGTGAGCAATATCCAGCGGGCTGAAGCCCCACAAAGAACAAAAAAATAGTGAGAATGATTTTGCTCTGCCTCTCTCCTGGAGCTGGTACACTCTCTACCTCCTGCCCTGGGACATCTTAACTACAGGTTGTCTTCCTTGGGACCCCAGAACTTCCTTCTGCATCCCTTCAGGTTCTCAGGCCTTTGACCTCAGACTGAGAATTATACTGTCAACTTTCCTCATTCTGAGATTTTCAGACTCGGAATGAGTCATGCTACTGGTGTTACAGGGTTTCCAGCTTGCAGAAGATCTGCCTTAGCTTCCATAATCATGTGACCCAATTTCTGTAATTAATCTCCCTCCATCTATGTATCTATCCTATTTGTTCTCTTTATCTAAAGAACCATAAAACAGATTTTTTAACCATGAATGGGTTATAGGGGAACAAAATTGTAAGGATGAGTTTCTTTCACTATATTGGGGGTTTCTAAAGTTTTGGATCTGTAGCCTGATGATACCTAAAAATACTTAAGACTCTACTTCTAATAGTAAAGAGAACACACTGCTAGTCCATTTCATGAACTGCTTAAGTGACATGCAAGCATCTGCCTCTGACACTCCTGATCAACCACTGGTAAGAGGCAAGGAACTTGGTAACTCTGAAAGCATATCTTTAAACATCAGTGGAATTGATGGAAGACCCAGTATTACCACAAAACCTTTATTCTGTTAATCTTTCTCCTATCCTTCCTAAAAGGGAACCTACAGCCTTTTAACAGGCTGTGCTTCAGGAAAAGGAATATAGTAAGAACTTTCGGGAACTACTAGACACTGTGTCTGAGCTCACAGTGATTTCAGGAGACTCAAAACATCGCTATGGAATGCCAATCACAGTAGGGGCATATGGAAGTCAGGTGATTAAAGTTTTAGTCAGATCAAATCACAGTGGGCCTAGTGGGTCCACCAACACATACTCTGGTGATTTCCCCAGTTTCAGATGCACAGCTGTAATAGACATAGTTAGCACTAGGCCCATTTCCTACACTGGTTCCCTGACCTGTGGAGTGAGGGCTAGTATGGTGGGAAAGCCTAAATGGAAGGCACTAGAGCTACCCAGGAAAATAGAAAATCAAATTCATAACCACATCCCTGGAGAAATTTCAGAGACTGCCACCACTATCAAGGTCTTGAATGATGCAGGGGTTGTGATTTCACCACACACCTGTCTAATTCAGCCTGTGCAAAAGACAGATGGATCCTGGAGAGTGACAGTGGATTCCCATAAGGTAAACCAAGTGTTCCCTCTAACTGCAGCTACTATATCAGACATGGTATTATTGCTTGAGAAAATTAACACATACCCTGGTACCTGGTATACTCCTATTGATCTAGTGAGTGCTGTTTCTCTATTTCTCTCCATAAGGTCCATGAGAAGCAGTTCAATTTCAGTAACAATGCCAGTAATACACCTTCTCTGTCCTACCTCAAAGGTGTTATCAATTCTCCATCACTAAGTCAGTTTGCAGGGAAGTTGATCACCTCTCCCTTTCACAAGGTATCACACTGGTCCATGGCATTGATGGCATTATGCAGATTCAACACAGTGGATGTGCAGTAACAACTACTCTGAAAATATTTATAAGGTATTTTCATTCCAGACAGTAGGAAAATCTCTAAGAAGACAGCTTTTGCCAAAAGCAAAAAGAAAGCAGTTCTTCATGGCCCTATGCCAGAATAAGGAACTGCAAAACAAGTGTAAATTGACTTCCACAAAGATAAAACCCAGAGAAGGCAAGCAAACATTTCCTGAATTATCGACTCTCCCCTTGAAGAGCCTTATGACACTTCGTCTCTCCTGAGACCCACAGCCTCCTTAACACCAGCAGTTGCTGTATCAGACATGGTATGATACAGCAGTTGCTGTAGGTGACACACCGGCTCCCTAGCAGTAATCCCCAGGGAAGTCTTCCTAAAAAGAAGAGAATATCCAGGATGGCTTGAAAACTCCCAGGGACAAGTGATTTTTCCAAAAGCCATAGCCACCCAGGTAGTTAAGGAGGCCCACGAGGGCTGAAATTATAGTAGAGAACCCTGTAGAATTCGCTCCTTCAAATGATGACCACTCCCAACCTTGGAGAGACAGCACAGCAAGTGACCCAGAGTTGCTCTCTCTGCCAGACTAACGGTCCCCTAACACACAATCATGAGGCCCCAAGGCCTCATGTTCAGGCAGTACAACTCAGGGGAATTTACCCTGATGAGGACTGGCAAACACACTTTACGATCATGTCCGAGACTTCTGGCAACTTTAGATACCTTCTAGTTGTGGGTGATATCTCCCCAGGATGGGTGCAGGCATTCCCAACTCGCTCTGAGACCACCTCCTAGGTAGCATGCCATCTCTTAAAAAAAAATTTTCAGGCCGGACACAGTGGCTCACGCCTGTGATCTCAGCACTTTGGGAAGCCCAGGCGGGTAGATCATGAGGTCAGGAGTTCAAGACCAGCCTGGCCAACATGATGAAACCCCATCTCTACTAAAAATACAAAAATTAGCTGGGCATGGTGGTGTGTGCCTGTAATCCCAGCTACTCAGGAGATTAAGGAAGAAAAATTGCTTGAACCAAGACCTGGGAGGCGGAGGCTGCAGTGAGCTGAGAACACACCACTGCACTCTGGCCTGGGCTATAGAGCGAGAATCCATCTCAAGAAAAGAATTTCCTGGCTGGGCATGGTGGCTCACGCCTGGAATCCCAGCACTTTAGGAGACCAAGGCAGGTGGATCACGAGGTCAGGAGTTCGAGACCAGCCTGGTGAAGATAGTGAAACCCCGTCTCCACTAAAAATATAAAAATTAACTGGGCAGGATGGCAGGCACCTGTAATCCCAGCTACTCAGGAGGCCGACGCAGGAGAATCACTTGAACCCAGGAAGTGGACGTTGCAGTGAGTAGAGGTCGTGCCACTGCACTCCAGCCTGGGTGACAGAGCAAGATTGTCAAAAAAAAAATTCCTATGTTCGGGCTGACTAAAACCATACAGAATGACAACAGGCCAGCTTTTATATCTTAAATTATGCAAAAGTTAGTCCAAGGCCTAGAAATCCCCTGAAAACTTCACACAGCTTAGAGATCCCAGTCCTCAGCAGAAATGGAAAGAGTCAACTAAAGCTTAAAGAGAATGTTGGCTAAACTGTGCTGGCAAACAGGAAAACTGGCTTCCTCTTTTACCACAGGTCTTCTTAGAATAAGGACTGCACCCCCCAAAATAATTTTAACTGAGTGCATTTTAACTCGGTGTTCAGTGTATGGGTGATCAATCCCAGAGGCAACCACAGGGAAGTGGCTGAGTCTACAGGAACTGGAACAACTAAAATATGCATTACATATTAGGAACGTGGCCCGTGTTCTTGCAGCTTATAGAAACCAGGATTCTCCATCACCGACAGACCTGGTTCTGCATCCTTATGTCCATCGAATCTGGGTATATCTGAAAATCTGGAAGGTTCAAAGTCCAGAGAGGCAATTAGGTCCAAAATGAATGGGGCCATACGTGGTGATTCTGACAACACATTCTGCCTTAAAGCTTCAGGGAGTCACCCCATAGCTTCATCACACACGAGTGAAATGAGTGGGTGCACCAGTGCAGGAAACTCCCTTGTACCAGGCTGAACTCATCTCAGATTTAAAATTGCTGTTCTGAAAACCCAACCTGACTCCCAAAAAGATAAGTATAGGATACTCTGACCCATCTAAAGGGTCACTGCTGTAACACTTAAATATCTCTACCCGCCAAGAGTGTTCTTGATGGCACTTTTGGGCTGTCTGATCGCATTAGGGCTTGTCCTGTCATCCTCAAAGCTGGCCTCTGGCTTAGGGATGTTTCCTTTTATTCCAGATAATCTTGATCACTGTATTCCTGACTTGTGGCCCTCCTGGTATCTTGATAGAAAACGACAGATACCTTAACTACACACCTTCAGGACTCCCTGATAGTCCCACAGTGTTTCCTTGAACTATCTGCCCTCTGCCTCCTCATCTCTTAGCCACCTCAGAATACTTAAGCTAGGTAAGTAAAAATTTACTCTCACTTTTTTCTTATACCACTTGGTCCTTTTAGTCCTCAGCATCCAAGGGTCTCTGGGACACCAACACAACAGTCCAATTTTCCTGTATTCTATAGCCAGTGAGAACAATCTGTCTGAATGCTATATAAGCCATAGGCACCCCAAGACTCGGGAAACAGGGCCCAGTGTGTACCTTCGGGAAGGTGGTTTCAACCTCACAAAGCTGCCATGCAAATCTAACCACCCACACCTATTGCTGTCTACCTGAGAAATTCTCAGTATAGGAGTTGCATGGATCCTGCTCCTAAAATCAACTACTTTTGTAGTCTAGCACCCACCTCAGGAAATGAAAAATATTGTTGACTCTACTATGCACCCCTCCTCCAGCAATATTTCCAGCTCCAATAAGGAATATAAATTTCACCTGAACTCAAAGAGAGCCCTCTGTCATTGTCAGAAGACTTCCCCTCTCCCTTGAGGCTCTCAATTACTTTACTGGCTAAACTTTCCATTTCCATAAGGGTTTGTGCATCCCCAGGGTATGTGTTCGTTTGCAGCTCTCTCCGCCACCACCTCCCTAACAGCTCCTCTGCTGCTACCTTTTCCTCCCCATTGCTAGTGATAGATCACCCTTCCATAGATAATGAAATACACGCAGGACAATGTACAACAGGTGTTATGGAATACAGCGAGATAACCATTCATAATACAACCTGCCATTACAGTAGGCCAAAGATGAGTCTCAGGCTGCTCCAGGCAGTCTTGGGACTTGCTGTACAATTGGTTGACCCCTGAGTGGGGAGAAGCACTGTATCTTCCATGAGGATACCCAAATAAATATAACCCAAACAAAAAATCTAGCAAGCAATACCAGAAAGGTTATTCAAAATATACAACCTTCTTTCAACTGGTTAGCCAACGTAGTGCTGGACAATCAGTTAGCCTTAGACTATCTCCTAGCAAAATAAAGAGGAATATGTGTGATCACCAATACCACCTGCTGCACCTGAGTTAAACCGTCTATGGAGATAGAATTTAAAATAAAGCAAATATTCAAACAAGAAGAATGGTGTCACTCCTTTGTGGTGACCAAGAGCAGCTCTAAGGACATCTGGAGTGCAATAAAGAGTGGCCTGTTCAATCACACTTTGTTCCTCCCCTTCTTGGCCTGCTGGTGATGATCCTGTTTTTATTAATTTTTGACCCCAGTAATCAGGTTAAGAATGAGACTGGAAGCAATCAAGCTGCAGATGGTAATCACCCAGGGATACGAGCAATTGGGGTTGCAGCCTAGAGACAATCAGATCTACCTCAGAATAGCAAGGGAAAGGTTTTGCTCCTCTAATTTATCAAGTGACAACACCCAGAAACATCAGGAAGTAGTTCCAAAAGTTGGACCCCTGTCCCTCAGCAGCCCTCAAGAATGAGGAGAAAATAAACAGAGGTCATCTAGGACACCCCTGATGAAATAACTGGGAATGTTCCTTTTTCCTGCTGTTTTTCTTAAGTCCCTTCTTTATAGGCAAAGCTGCTGAAGGAAACCAGATGGCTGAGGATGGTGCCAGAGCATCTTGACCCCTGACCAGATACCAGAGAAAGATGTGAAACTGAAGCAGTCTGGAACATGCGACCTGAAGTTACCTTCAGGTCATTAACATATCATTATAATGCTAAAATTCCCGCCCATAAAAGAGTATCTCTGCTATTCTGTGCACATGTGATATATGAAGACATATGTTTATGAATTCAGCCTGCACGTCTGGAGTTCCACCCCACACATGCTAATATTCCTTTCATTCCCCCACAGCTAGTCCTTAAGAACCCCATGCCTTTTGTTCATGCATTTAAAGAAAGAGCTTGCCTTCTCCAGTCTCTGGCCATCAGATAAAACCTAAGTGTCTTTTTCAATTAAATGTTCCTTCTGTACAACTGATAAAAAGTAAGGAAAGAGCTCAGTTTACCAGTGATACCTACAGGTGAATTCAGAGGAGGCCCTTCAGATTTTGGCGCAAGTTCTGGCCATCATGTGCAGATAACTACTATTATTTTCATAAGCAGCTCTTGGCTTGTCACTGGGTCTTAACAAAAATGAAATGCATGACTGTGGGCCATTAAGTTACCAGGCAGCCTCAGCTGCCCATTATGAACTGGGCATTGTCTGTCATACCAAGACATAAAGTTGGATGTGCAGAGCACCATCATCACATGATAGTAGTATATACACGATTGGGCCCAAGAAGGCCCACCCAGGAGGCACAAATAAGTTACATGAAGTGTCCAAATGCCCATGGTCTCCACTCCCATTACACCACCTTCTCTCTAGAAGCCTGTATCATGGCCTGAACTACAACCAGTTGAAAGAGAAAGAGAAGACTGGAGACTCACTTACTGATAGTTCTACACAATATGCAAGCATCACTCAAAACTGCACAGCTGTGGCACTACAGTCCCTATCTGGGCCACTGCCGAAGTTGAGTAGAAAAGGGAGCTCTCAATCAGCAGAATGTTAAGGAGGGCATATAGTTGTGCACTTTTCATAGAAGAAAATCTGGTCAGAAGTGTAATTATACAATGATCCAAGGGTGGTAGCCAATGGTTAGGCCAGATGGTCAGGGTCTTTAAAAATATATGCTTGAAAAATTGGTGACAAAGAAATTTGCAGGAGTGATACAGGAATAGACCTATCTGAGTGGCCAAAAATTTAAAACATTTGTGTGCTATGTGGATGCTCAGCAATGGATGGTCACCTCAGCAGAGGAGGACTCTAACCATCCAGTGGCTGGGATAATGCATTCTGTCACACTAGTCAGCTTCTGTCCCCAGCCACCCGTGTCGTCAGTCACTGGGCTCATGAATAAAGCAGCCACAGTGGTAGGGACTGAGATTATGCATGCACACAGCAACCTGGAATTCCACTCACCACGGCCAACCAGGTTACAGCCCCCTCTGAGTGCTCAAAGTGTCAGCAACAGAAACACCCACTAAGCCCCTCATACGGCTCCATTCCCCAGGATGATCTGGCAACTCCCTGGCGGTAGGTTGATTACCTTGGGCAGCTTTCATCAAAGAAGCGGCAGCATTTTGTCCTTCCTTGAATAGTAAGATAGTTACTCTTTCCATAAATTATGCTAACCAGCTGACATCCTGTGTGTCATAAGGATTCTTTAGAGAGGCCCTACCAGCAAGAGGCTCTCACCAGATGTGGCCCCTCAGCCTCGGACTTACCAGCTGATATAAATTATCAGCATATTATCGTAAGAAATACATTTATTTTCTTTATAAATGACCCAATATTTTGTATCCTGTTATAAGAAAAAAGGGACTATTAAGAAAATTGGTAATAAAAATAAACGTTAATTATTCTGTGAAAACTACCATCCATGGACATACAGAATACCTTATCTACCATCCTGGTATTTCACACAGCATCGCTTCTGAACAAGGACCTCACTTCACAGACAAAGAGGGGCAGAAGTGAGCTCATGCTCAGAAACTTCAATGAGTTTACCATGTCGTCTGTAATCCTGAAGCAACTGTCTCGGTAAAATTACGGAATGTCCTTTGGAGGCTTCGGTTCCAGCACTTGCTAGGTGACAGTACTTTAGGAGACTGTTGCAAGGTTCTCTAGAAGGCTATACATCCCGTGAAATCAGCATCCATTTATGGTGCTGTTTCTCCCCAAACGAGAAATTACACATAGTTTGGGAATCAACAGATTATAATGAGAATGGCCCACCTAGCCACTTTCAAATCTTCAGGTCCTTGAACCAACAAAGGGAGGTTGCACTGTTGTTTAGGGTAACTGATCCAGATTACCAGGGGAAATTGGACAAGTGCTCCACAGTGGAGGAAGGAAGAGTATGTCTGGAATACAGGAGATCTCCTTGTGTCTTCTGTTTGAAATATTTGTCCCCTACCAAATTCACTTTGAAATGTAATCCACAGTGTGGCAGTATTCAGAGGCATGGCCTTTAAGAGGTGTTTGAATCAATCATGACTGATCTGCCCTCAAGGGTGAATCCATTCATTCATGGATTCATAAATGAACAGGTTATCATGTGAGGGCCAATGGTGGCTTTGTTAAGAGAAAAAGAGACTTGCATTAGCATGCTCAGCCCTGCCAGAAATAGTAAGTTCCTCTTCAAAGCTTCCTTGTTCTTTCTGGCTCTGTACACAGCCTTTTCTGCTTGATCTGTAACAAGCATGCTTCTCTGCTTCATCTTTAACTAGCAAAACTACTACTCTGTAAACAACCCTTCCCTGTGCCCAGACATGCCTTGTATTTGTTCTGTGAACCACCCTTCCTGCCTTAGCAACGAACAGCCTCTCCCTTCCTGCTAATTAACCATATTCAATTTCCAACAGCAGCCAATCGGGTTAGCTTAGATTGTGTAGCCCGACTCCAGCCAATGGGGGAAGGACACAGAAACAGAGATTGCCTTAGGGATGAAAACCCCTGCCCTACCCCACTTGGTGTGCTCTTGCTATTGGACAGACACAGGCAGCACCTTTCTGCAGAAATAAAAGTGCCTTGCTGAGAACTTTTCTAAGTGCTGGTTTTTCTTAGCAACACCAAGCACTTGTTTCTAACAGCCTTCTAACCAGCTGACATCCTGTGTGTCATGAGGATTCTTTAGAGAGTCCCTACCAGCAAGAAGCTCTCACCAGATGTGGCCCCTCAGCCTCGGACTTACCAGCTGATACAAATAATCAGCATATTATCATAAGAAATACATTTATTTTCCTTATAAATGACCCAATATTTTGTATCCTGTTATAAGCAAGAAAAAAGGGACTAATAAGAAAATTGGTAATAAAACATAGGTTGCTGCTGAAACTCAGTATCTAAAAATGTGAAAGTCACTTTCAAACTGGGTTATGGGCAGAGGCTAAAAGAATCTTGAGGGGCAGACTAGAAAAAGCTTGTGTTCTTGTGAGGATTCAGAAGACAAGACGACTGGGAAATATTTGGGAGTCCTTAGAGATTGATGAAGTGGTTTGGACCAGACTGCTGATAAAACTATGGAGACTAAAGGATATTGTGACAAGGTTTCAGATGCAGATGTTATAGGAGTTATTAAGCAAATACAGAGGAAAAGGGGTCCTTGGAAAGTTTTGTGTCTTTTAAAGCAGCTCCAGAAAAATTTGTCTAGCAGGAAAACCCTGGCTCTTACAGCCAGGCCTGCAACCTTTGATATGCAAATGCCAGCCATTAGAAACTGGGTCTACCCAAAGATGGTGATTCCCGCCCTCTTCTTCTTTGCCCCCACATGTGCCTGGCAACATGGCCACCCCCACAAACCCCCACGTGTGCAGAACATCATGGTGCCCTGCATTTGTATATCAAAAGGCTAGGGTGGGAAGATCAGTTTTTTTGAGGGCTATCTGAGTGAGTTACCTGGTCAAACCAATCCCGAGCCCTATGCAAATCAGACACCACCTCCTCCAGCCTACTCATATAAGCAGCTACTTCTCCTTGGCACATAGGGTCTCTTCTCTTGGATTTGGAGCCACCCTCCCTCTGTCTTCTTTATTTCTTCACCCTTCTTGCTTATTAAACTCTCCACTCCTTAAAACCACTCCACGTGTCCATGTCGTCTTACCTAATTCGGCATGAGAGAAGAGCCCTAGTGTTCCTCCACTCATCGGAGCTGTATCACAACTAAGGAAAAACAATATTGGAAACTAAAGAACATTTCTGTTAAAAATTGGCAAATAACTTCGCTGAACTGGGTTCATGCCAAGGGCTTTGTAAAGACACTGACTTCTGAATGAAGAGCTAGGTAATCTGGCAGAAGAAATGTCTAAGCCACAAAGTGTTAATGTTACTTCTAAGCTGTGTGTGTGGTTACTTCTAATTGCTTAAGGTGAACTGCTAGAGGACACACACACACACACAGACACACACAGAAAGAGAGAGAGAGAGAGAGAGAGAGAGAGAGACAGAAATTCTAAAAATGTGCAGCCTAGCCATGTGGTAGAGAATGAAAGCATTTTCAGGAGAAAAATCCAAGGATGTCGCAGAGCCATAGCTTGCCAGAAATTACAATGGCTAAAGCACAACCAGCTGTTAATAGTCAAGACAATGGGAAAGAGGCCCTACAACCATTTCAGTAACCTTCCAGGCTGCCTCATCCATTGCAGGCCCAGAGGCCTAAACGGACAGGGTGGATTCTGGGGACAGCCTGGGCCACTGCCCTGCACCATGTTAGCATGCTGCTCTGCTCATTCCAGATGCTTACCATAAACCCAGGCAGAGTTTATGTCCCAGAGCTCTGGGAGGTACAAGCCCCAAACCTTGAAGGTGTCCATGTGGTGCTAATAACGTAGGCTTTCAGAAATGAAGAAATGTAGAGGCTTGGCGGTCTCTACACATTTCAAAGGATTTCTCTGAAAGCCTGGGAGTCCAAAAACACACTCGTCACAGGGCCAGATCCAACGCAGAGGGCCTCAAATAGAGGGATGCCAAACACAAATGTGGGGTTAGAGCTGCTGCAAGGAGTTCCCACCAGGGCAATGCCAAGTGAAGCCACAGCACTGAAGTCACTGCAGAGAGTTCCACATGGGTAATGCCTAGTGGAGCTGAGGAAGTGGTACCACTACCGGGACCCCCCAGAAATGTGCAGTTACCTACAGCATGCAGTGTCTGCCCAGGAAAACTTCATAAACCTGACTGCAAACTGTACAAGCACCCAGGAGAATGTACCAAGCAAAGCCATAGCAGTGATAGTACCTGAGGGCCTGTGAGTCCAACCTTTATCCCAGTGGGTTCAGGAGTCAAAGACAGAGTCAAAAAAATATTCCCCAGCTTTAAGATGTAATCGTTGCCCTGCTGGATTTTGAATTTGCTTTAGGACTGTTGCTTTCTTTCTTTTTGTCCATTTCTCTCTTTTCGAAAGGGAATGTGTACATTATGCTTATTCTGAAACTGCCTTTGCAAAAACGCTAACAGTGAGAAAATTATGACAGTGAAAGAGAGATGACCTAAGTGACTCCATCTTGCCTTTAACCTCTAAGCTGCCCTTGTTCATTCCCGGGCAAAGGCCAAACTAACTTTGGGAGGAATTTAGTTTTTAGCTTAACTCTGAAACAAGGATGGCAAGAGAAGCTCCCTGAAATAAATCCCCTCATTGTTTGGGGACTAGACCACCCCTGCAACACAACAAAATAACCACAAGATTAAAAAGTATGACTCAGGAGTCATAAAGCCAAAGGCCACAAGATTATTAACCTCCCCAGCTGCTCCTATAGATAATCTATTAATACAGTAAAACCTAAGATTGGTTTTTGAGGGATTTTCCAGACCCTGTATTGGGGAAGCTGATGCTTCCCCAAACAGTAACCTGGCTCATCTGGACTTGTGGCCCCCACCCAGGAACTGAGTCAATGCAAGAGGACAGCTTCTGCGTTCTGTAATTTCATCTCTGACCCAAATAATCAAAATTCCCCAATCTCCAGCCTCCCACATGCCAAATTATTTATTAAAAAAATCCTAACCCCAGATTTTGTGGGGAGCTTGTTTTGAGTAATAATATAATTCTTGTCTTTTGCTTACCTGGCTCTACAAGTATTAAACTCTTTATAGCAATTCCCCCTCTTGATAAATTGGCTCCATCTCAGCATCAGCCAAGATGACCCCATCAGGCCATGGCAAACTTAGGAGCTTGTAGGGGTGTACCCCTTGTGTGTAACATCCTCTCACTAGTGGCAAATCCAGAGAACAGCCCAATTCTCTGCCTAGTTCTCTCCAAATAAAGGCTGTCTCTGGCACTGTATCTACTACCAGCGGGGTGCTACTTATCCACAGTGTTATGGATCTAATTGGAAGAGAGAAGTAATTCCTGGATGACAAAAGTTACCCTGGTTTGGTGAGTGTTGCGCTTCTCCTGATCTGGAGAGTGCACTGCAGCTCTATCATGGGAACTGTCCAGCTCTCCCAAGACTGTCGGAATATGCTCTGTTGGCCTCAAAGGTACTGTAGACCCATCATAGGGTCTGCCTGTCTGTCCCTGAATTGTAGTAAGAGTCTTGGTTTGAGGAGATTTATCTCCAATTGGAAGGGAATAGGGGACACGTTTGGAGGAATACTCTTCTGGTTTGAATTTGATCCGAAATTTCGGTTTGAAAGGCCTTCTATATTTCATCGAGTAAGTTTGCATGTATGGAGATCTCTGAAGAAATTGCTGATGGAATTACTGCAGGCTTTCCTAGTTCGTCTGATCATTCGTCTTCACAGTGAGCCTTAAAGAACTGTTGGCAGGAGCTGAACAGGTCTAACTGAGGGTGACCATTCACCCTTCCACGTTACCTGGGGAGCACCCCACTGAAACTACTTTTCAAAGGTCATCTCTCCCTGTCTTGAATGGATCGAAGATGACAGGGGCCAATGGCCACAAGGTAAAGCTTTGTCAAATGAACACTTTGGTGGTGAGTGGAGTGATTAGTATCTGTATTTTGTCACATGCATTTTGTTCTGGCCAAAATGAGAAGTGTTTATTTGGTCCCACTGCAGCCCACTGGGTGACATCTTGCTAAATTCTGTAACACCGCTTGGCCCCCACAGATACGGTACAGAAAACAGGGTCATCAAAAGTTGCTCCATTCTCCTGGAAGCTGCAGACAAAGGGAACTTGGAAAACTGGCAAGCTGGTAATAAAGTAAAAATTCCTTACCAGCCAAGCCCTCTCTACAAAACCAGTTGAATGAATTGTCAAAGTCACAGTTTGTCTCCTCTGCAAGTCTGGATTAGAAGGAAAAAAAGATCTGTGTGACTAAGCTTTTTGAAACCTTTCTGTTGTCAATCTGTCAGAGAGAGGAGTACCGCAGAATAGAATGTAGGCCTAAGACCCCTAAAAGCTTCACCTTTGAGCTGGCCCTACAGACTCGTTAGTTACAAACTTTGTTGCAGGTTCCTGAAAAAAAAAAAAAAAAAAGTGACATTTTCCTCTTCTCTTGTTTTCTGTCCTTGAGAACTTGACTTTGTAACCATGTGAGAGTACTGTCCCTTTTCCTCCCACATATGGAGGGTTGGAATTTTTTCATTCATGTCAGGCAGCCAGTCTGAAAGAACACATAATCAAGTCACGGCTTCCCTGTCTGTTTATCGATATGCTTCGTAAGTACAATATTTCACTAACAAAATATTTAAAAGAGCTCTAACGAATTGGCATGTCTATCTAATGCACTTAAATATTTTATCAGAAAAAATTAACTGCTTTGCCTTTTAGTTCACATGACTTTAATAATCTTTGAATAATAAAGACAGTTTTCTAGATTATCGGTAAAATAAAAATGTCTTCAATATCTAAATATTCGATCTAACTTAGGCAGGTCAGATACTGTCTTTGCCAAATGATTTAAGGTTACGAACTGCTTCTAAGACTTTTTATAACTGCCTAACCTGCCTGCATCAGAGGCATTAGCTTCTAGGTAAGGACTGGGGGGGACATGTTGAGTTAGCTATGCCCTGTAACTATGCTGGAAAGGGTCAGATACTATCTACAGTTCTATCCTGTATCCTGGGCTCTGCACCTGGTACAAAATTAACACTGCATTCACAAAAAATAAAAGTTGTTAAGACTCTACATTGTAATATAAATAATTGAGACTACTGAAAAAATATTTACATGAAATGTATATAAAATTATTAAATGTGTCTCGGTAAAAAATTACACAAAGACACAAAAACGTTAAAATAATTTTGTCTAATTTAGAGGATTTTAAAAAACTGCCTCAGGTTAAAAAAAAAAAAAGGACAAAACTGAAGGTTTAAGCAACTTATAAAAGGTTTATAAAAGACTGAACTTGTAAAGAAAGTTCTGTGTATGAACAAGCTGCCAAAATTTGAAGGGGATTACTTAGTTTTTCTACAGAATAAACATGAAAATAAAATGGACACTGACATAGGCCCAGAGACTGCAGCCCTGTGTGTGATAAATGGAGTTTTCAGGGAACATTAATCTGCTCTTTAGCATACAACTGTAAAACATCGTAAAATATTTATGAAACTCTTACTGTATAATCAAACTGATTCAGATTGGATAGATGTGTTTATAAGGTTTTATATAAAAATTGGGTTTAACATTAATAGTACACTAATGAAGCAGAGAGAATAATAGTAGAAATCGTAAAAATGAAATAGTAATAACATAATAGCAGTTTCTTCCATAGAATGCTGTCTAAGCCTGGGCTAAGAGGTCTATAGGTAACCTCTCATCCCGAAAATGGAGTTAAGGAAGAATATTAATTGCCCTTCTGTGAAACACTAACCATATCTACCCTCTGCATATTTTGTAAGTTCCTGTTTTTCTAGCTGTACAGCTGCAAGGCCACGAGATAAGCACAAGCTGCAAAACATGTTTTTTCTCAAGATGTTAAGACATGTCACAAGATGATTAACTGCTTTTGTTCTCACTTCTGTAAACCTGCCTCCCCCTTCACATTTTTCCTGCCCCAAAATGCATAAAAGGCACATGCTTTCTTTGTTTGATGCTCAGACTTTCTGGATGCAAGTCCACTGAGCCAGTGTACACCTTAAAGAAACCCTCCTGAACCCCTTTGGTCTCTCTGGTTCTCCGACTTTCCCACTACACTAATGCAAAGGTAAAATTTGTTTTTTTATCTTTGAACAAGACTTTTGTATAATATTGAAGGATAATAATAAAGTATTTTTGTTTGCCTTTTAAATAAACTGAAAAACAGCGAGAGAGAAGAGACAGATGTGGTCAGTCTCATGCTATCTTTATTGGGTCTTGTTTGGAGAGAGGAGTCTCCCCTTTCTATCAGTGAGTATAGATTTTTGCCTTTTTGAAATTGAGTTATCATTTTCTAAATAAATGATGTGTGGTTATCTGGGATTCCATTTTGTGATATGAAGTGTTTTAAAACTTCAATATTTGAAAAACTTTGAAAAATCAAAATAAGTCTTTTTTTTTCTACCTAATTAACCTTTTAAGTACTGGGTCCCCTGAAGTTCAAAAGACATATTTGCCTTATTCGGTATATTAACCATACAGAAAACACTGTTGTCAAATACAAAATGGTGTTTAACTTTCTTTGAATTATATTTATATAAATATAAGTATTCCAAAAGCATATGATTCCTATAATTCTCGTATGTTTCATTGCATTTGTAATAATTATAATTATGATGTTAAATTATTATGTGCCACAGGGATGACCAGATTTTCTTGTTGACTGTGTCTTTAACAACGGCTGATCTCATCAGGCGTGGTGGCTCATGCCTGTAAACCCAGCACTCTGGAGGCCAAGTATGGAGGATTCCCTGAGCCCAGGAGTTTGAGACCAGCCTCAGAAAAATAGTAAGACCTCGTCCCTACAAATAAGTATAAAAATTAGCTGGGTGTCACCAGGCGCGGTGGCTCATGCTTGTAATCCCAGCACTTGGGGGGCTGAAGCAGGTGGATCACCTGAGGTCAGGAGTTTGAGGCCAGATTGGCCAACATGGAGAAACCCCAGGTCTACTAAAAATACAAAAAATTAGCTAGGCATGGTGGTGCATGCCTGTAATCCCAGCTACTTGGGAGATTGAGGCAGGAGAATTACTTGAACCCGGGAGGTGGAGGATACGGTGAGCCGAGATCGCACCAATGCACTCCAGCCTCGGCAACAACAGCAAAAAACTGTCTCAAAAACAAAACAAAACAAAACAAAACAAAGTTGAGCGTGGTGGCACTTGCATGTGGTCCCAACTACTCTGAGGACTAAAGTGTGAGGACCGCTTGATTCCAGGAAGTTGAGGCTGCAGTGAGCCATGATTGTGTCACTGCACTCCAGCTGGGTAACTAAGCAAGATGCCGTTTCAAAAAAAGTAAAAGTAAAATTAAAAATCATGACTGTCCTGAAACGTCTGTCATCCACAGATAATTGTTGTATTACTTTGATCCTTTTCAAAAAGTGATTTGCTTTATGAAAGGTTCTCTTGAATACAAGTTTCTGATAGAGACTGTGTCAGTGAAATAGAAAAAACATACTTTCATTGATAGCTGATATTTTCATGAGGACTACTGGCCCAGTGTCAGGCAGTACAAGAGTTAATTACATGGACTGAACAAATAGGAGACCGAAGTCATCCTTTTATGATTTGTTGCTTAAAATGTTGTTGATCCAGCTGGGCATGGTGGCTCACGCCTGTAATCACAGCACTTTGGGGGCTGAGGCAGGCAGATCACCAGGTCAGCAGATCGAGACCATCCTGGACAACATGGTAAAACCCTGTCTCTCCAAAAAAAAAAAAAAAAAAAGCTGGGTGTGGTGGGGCATGCCTGTAATCCCAGCTATTCGAGAGGCTGAGGCAGGAGAACTGCTTGAACCCGGGAGGCAGAGATTGCAGTGAACCAAGATGGTGCCACCGCACTCCAGCCTGGAGACAGAGCGAGACTGTCCAAAAAAAAAAAAAAAAAAAAAAAAAGTTGCTGATCCTTTTGCTGTTGTTTTTCAGTGTCAAGGAAGCGTTTTTGTTTGGAGAGCCTTTTTGTTGTTTTTCAGTGTCAGCTGAACTTTTAACAATTGAGTTTTGTTTCCAGCTTTTAACAATTGAGTAAAGTATACTCCTGTGAGTAAAATTGGAGGTGTATTTCTTTTTCTCTACCTGATTTCTCCAGAATTTGAAAATTATTCAGCTTTTTAAAACTTACGGATAATTCGTTATTTACATTTAAGAATCTGTTTTCTTTTATAACAGGAAGCAACTGGTTACACTGGTTATTTTACAAAAATGTACTTATTTTACCAGTGGAATGATACACTTTCACATATAAACAGACTGCCTTAAGGAATCCAAACTGACTAATAGAGATGATGAAAACCCTGGGGGGAAACTGGCCTCATACCTTGTCTGCGCAGTCTTTGTATGGGGTTCCTGATCAGAGGTAGGGAAAAATGTTACTTTCTGACAGGTCTAGAATCCCCATGTTATCTTGGGATGTCAAGAAGAGAGGAATTCACCCAATCCATATACATATTTGTAGGCACAGATAAATCCATGGGTGGACTCAAGGCTTTTAAAAAGTCTAATCTAAGATTCCTTATGGAACAAAGTTCCAGCAAAGCCAATTTAGAAAGAGCTAATATGGCAAATAATTATTCTTGCTTCACTTTATGCAAATAATAAGGTTACGTATAATAATGCCAAAACTTATTTTGTAAATAAATGTGTCCTACTATGATGTGTCTTTAAAAAAAGTGAGAACTACAAAAAACTAGCCGGGCGTGGTGGCGGGCGCCTGTAGTCCCAGCTACTTGGGAGGCTGAGGCAGGAGAATGGCGTGAACCCGGGAGGCGGAGCTTGCAGTGAGCTGAGATCCGGCCACTGCACTCCAGCCTGGGCGACAGAGCGAGACTCCGTCTCCAAAAAAAAAAAAAAAAAAAAAAAAAGAAAAATTGTATTTCAGGAAAATACTATAGCACACCTGCTGTTAAGATTCTAGACTTGCCCACTGTTTTTGAGCTTTTAACTATTTTCTGCACTTTGGGCTGAATCCTCAACTCTTACAGAGACAAATATCCTCAAACTAACACTTTCTAATTTTTCTTCCATTTTTACTAACCTGGACTCAACGAAATTGCTAGTACCTCTTTCCTGAAGCCTTGCATGCAGGTGCTTACGTCTTGTGCTACAAGTGAGAAAACATGTCAGATTGCCATCGCCTTAAAAACACTTGAGTTTATCGTGTGAATACACTGTGCCCAACATTAACCTTCGTAGTTTTTTTTCTATTTCTGTTCAAATGCCTGTCATTAAAAATTTTTCTGCCTTCATCACAAATACAGGCCTAGTCCATCTGCAATTCTACTTTCTAAAATAAAACATAAATACTTAACTGAATGAATCTATTTGCAGGACTAGGAAATTAACTAGAAAGATGTGGAATGGTATATATAAATTTGCTCTTTCCTATTTATTCCAATTTGTCTTTCTAACAACTTACGACTCAAATCTCTCGACTACTCATCCCGTGTCTGACTGGTTCTTGGGGCTATTCCCCTGAATCCCTCAGGAATTTAGATGAATTATGTAAGAACTTCTGAAGCTAGGACTTCTACTTCTCATATTAGGACTCATTGTCCCACGGTTTGCTGTTCACTTAAGTGCTGTACTAAAATTGTGGATGACAGTACTAACATCTTTGTCATGCAAGCCGATGAACCCCAACCAGGCACCTGTGAATACATGCAGACAGCTGCAAAGCAGTATTATTCCATTTGCCCTGGGGCCAAACCGTATCCCAAGTACAAGCCCTGTTGGTAGGAAGAAGTTAGAGTAGTCTTCAGCCTTTTCCCAACTGCCTGTCTCACACCTTAAGAATAATGTGCAGTAAAACCCCAAAAAGAGAATTGAAATCACCTTTGTAAAAACTGCAACACTGACAAAATTGTGACAGTGAGAGAGATATGACCTAAGTGACTTCATCTTGCCTTTAACCTCCAAGTTGTCCTTGTTCCATCCTGGGCAAAAGTCGAACTAACTTTGGGAGGAATTTATTTTATAGCTTAACTTTGAAACAAATATAATAACAGCTCTTTCCTGAAACAAAACCGCTCATTGCTTGGGGACTATATTGCCTTTGTAAAACTAACAAATTAACCATGGGGTTATAAAGTATGGCTCAGGAGTCATACATCCCGAGGCCACAATATTACTACCGTTCCCAGTTGCTCCCGTAAAGAGCATTACTATTGTAAAACCTAGATTTGTGTTTGACGTGTATTTTTCCGACCTTGCATTCTGATGGATCAGCAGGTGCCACCCAAACCAGTAAACCGGCTCATCTGGACACGTGCCCCCATCCAGGAACTGAGTCAGAACAAGAAGATGACTCTGACTTCCTAAGATTTTATCCCTGACACCCACCAATCAGCATTCCCCTTTCCCTAGCCCCCCGCATGCCAAACTATCTACAAAAAACCCAGCGTCTTAATATTTGGGGAGGCTGTTTTGAGTAACAAGAAAACTCCAGTCTCTCCTTTAGCCAGCTCTGCATGTATTAAACTTTCTCCGTACAGCAATTCCCCTGTCTTGGTCAAGTGGCTCTATCTGGGCAGCAGCCAAGATGAATCCATTGGGCCTTAACAATCTCATCACTGAATTTTGAATGAAGATAACTTGTTTTGATTTCTTAGGCTGACAGATGAGACTTTGGATTTTGGAACTTTCTGTTGGTGCTGGAACAACTTAAGCCTTTGAACTACTGAAATGGAATACATTTTTTATAAGTGACAGGGCATGATTTTAAGAAAGCCAGAAGTGAAGGGCTCTCCTCACAAACTCGTGTTTAAATTTCATTCCGAATGTGGCAGTATTGAGACGTAAGGTCCTTAAAAGATGACTGGATCATGAAGAGTTTGTCCCTGTGATTAAGTTAATCCATTCATGGATTAATACATTAATGAGTTTTAGATTAATGGGTTATTAATGAGAGAAGAACCGATAGCTTGTAGGAGGGGAGACCTGATCTTCCATGGCAGCAAGCTCTACTCCATTGCCATACGATACCCTGCATGGCTTCAGGACTCTTTGGAGAGTCCCAAGAAGCAACAGGACCTCACCACATGTGGCCCCTAAACCTTGGACTTTTCAGCCTCTGTAACTGTAAGAAATGTATGTGTCTTCTTTATCAACTACTCAGTTCCAGGTATTCTGTTGTAAGTAACAGAAAATGGACTAAAACCAAGTCTCTTAGTATTACTATGCCCTGTTATTAAGTTCAGTGGAAAACTACAATCATTCCCAGCAACAGTACAAATGGTCCAGATCTTTCAGGAATGAAGGTTTGCATCACCCTGCCAGGTGAAGACCTCGGACCAGCTGAGGAGCCTGCTGAACACAAAGATAATACAGAATGGGGAGCAGTAGAAGGAAGTTATAAATATCAGTTAGGACCAGGTGAACAGTTACAGAAACAAGCATTACAATTGTCACTAGTATGTCCTATCTACTTTGTTAAGAACACTTTTGCATGTTTATATACATATATTAGGCAAGTAACTTTGTTGTCATCCTTCTCTTCTTTTATCACATAACCCAATAATGCATTGATCTGATACTAGCAGTTAAGTATTAGTAGTTCAACATATTTGTATTGAAATTATGGGATATCAAAAGAATAGTAAACATCACCCACAAACCTTTACTACTCTAAAAAAAGATTAGTATGTTTTGGTTGTATACAGAATAATTGCATCATGTTGCCTTATTACCGTCTGTATTTGCAGATTAGTATGGCTTAAGACGATACATACAGGTGCTAGGTAGAAAGGTGATGGGATTTTCACGGTTATTTAATGTGGATTAAAGAATACCTAGAGAACTGGTAAAGCATTACTTCTGGAAGTGTCTGCCAGGGTATTTCCAGAGGAGACTGTTGTGTGAGTGAAGGAATTTGGTGAGGAAAATACACCCACCATGGAAGCAGGCACCATACAATTCCTTGAGGACCTAGTATAACCAAAAGTAAAAGTAGAAAAACAGTTCTCTCCCCCGACCCCCGCCCACCCACTTCGGCAGGTACACCTCTTTTCCTGTCCTTGACAGAACTCTGAATTCTCTGACCTGAACTCCAGGACTTTTAAGAGGGAAACCTGTGGATTCTCAGGCCTTTGGTCCTAACCTGAGAATTACACTAAGAGTCCTCCAGGTTCTGAAGATCTCAGGCTTACAGTCAGGCTATAACATCCTAGGGTCTTAAACTTACAGATGGCTGTCCTGGGAATTCTCAGCCTCTATAATCACATGAGCAAATCCCCAAACAAAAATGCCTCTATTCTAACTATTATCTTGCTATCAACTATCTAGCGATCTATGTATTGATCTATCGAAGTATCTAACCTACCTACCTACCTACCATCTATTTGTTCTGTCTCTCTAGAAAAAAACTGACAGATACACCCATAAAGGCTTCAGCCTAATGGCCCATTACCCTGTGTTCTGTAGTTGCTCCCCCACCTGTTTCTAAGTGTGTGTCCCGGAGAGCTCTTCCCTTCCTATTGGTGCTTCAAGGAATGCTGCCCTCCTCTCTTCGACTGGTTAGTAATAATCTATTACTAGTGCCATTATACACCTTTTGTTGAGTTGCCTCCTCTGTGTTTCGCTTTACAAACACATGGGGATCTCACAGCACTCTCCTAGAGAGTGGCTATCTTGTTAGATATAAGACACAGGTCAGATAGGAGCTACAAGGATGTCTTCCAGTAAAAACAAGTACACTCTGTGAGAGAAATACCCCAATTCAAGTTGGATAATTAGGCTGTCAGCCATCCACCAGGTTGAATAAACATCCCATGAAAGGTACAGTCAGTACCAAACCCTGAGTTCTATTGGGCAAGGCTATAGGTTATAGCCACTACCCAGACAGACCTCAGTAGCAAACAGAAATAAAAATGAAACATATGCTAGGAGATAATTTTACGAACTATAATTCCAGAAATCCATTGAAAGGAAAACAAAAATGGCAAAGCATTACTTGAAAGCCTGTGCTGGAGTGGTAGCTCTCTAAAGAAACAGAACAATCTGTATCTAGAGAATTGCAGCCCTAACTATAAGCAATGATGTCTGTAACTTGCACTCTAAATCCAAGTATTCATTTATTTATTATTTATTTAACTATTTTAGAAACTGGGTCTTGCTATGTTGCCCAGGCTGGAGTGCAATGGCTACTCACAGGCACAAGCACTGCACACTACAGCCTCAAACTCCTCATGTCAAGTGATCATCCAGCCCAACCTCCCAAGCAGCTGCAACTACATGCCCACAGCACCACACCCACTCAGTTAAATTTTTTAAATCAAGAAAGTTGCATTTTTATCCTTTTCTTCTTTCCCATGGTCATTTTAATCACACGGATGATGATCATGCAAATCATTTTAAGATTAGTTACTGCACATGTAGATGCACTCTGGTTTCCATACAATCTTCTGTGTTGTCTACTTGTTACATGGCTCAACTGTACTTTTGGATACTTTGGGAAAAAAATGGACTTTCATCTTCCCTGAGGAATAGAGTGAATAGGCCAGGAGTGGTGTCTCACGCCTGTAGTCCCAGCACATTGGGAGGCCGAGGTAGGTGGATCACAAGGTCAGGAGTTCGAGGCCAGGCTGGCCAACATGGTGAAACCCTGTCTCAACTAAAAATGAAAACACAAAAGATTAGCCAGGCATGGTGGCGCACACCTGTAGTCCCAGCTACTCAGGAGGCTGAGGCAGGAGAATCACTCAAATCCAGGAGGCGGAGGTTACAGTGAGCAGAGATCCTGCCACTGTACTCCATCCTGTGAGACAGGGTAGACAGGATAGACAGGGTGAGACTCCATCTCCAAAAAAAAAAAAAAAAAAAAAAAAGTGAATAAAATAGAAACTCATATCATTTATGTTTTACAAGGTTACTGCATTTGTACTATGTGTTTCAGGTTCCACAAAGGCTCAATTAAGTTAACAGCAAGTCCTGATTTCAAATATATGAGCCATGTCTACACTTCTATTTATTTTAAAATTTTAGATTTACAGAAAATTGCTAAGATCTTACATAAGGTATCATATACCCTTCAACTTTCTGTAATATTATCATCATACATAAACATAGAATATCTGTGAAAACTCAAAAATTGATAAAGGTACATAGAACTTTTAACTGAAGTACTGACTGTCTTCATATTTTACCTGGTTTTCACCTAACGCCATGTTTCTGTATTTGGATCTAATTCAGGATAACATCACATTTACCATGAAGTGTACTATTGTGTATTACAGCACAGCCAATTACCATGTAGCTTAGTGGCTCAAAAGCACACACACATTACTCACAGTTTCTCTGAGTCAGAAATCCAGATGTCGGTGATGGCCAAGGCTGAGGTTTCACCTGAAAGATGAGATGGGGACGGATCATCTTCCAAGTTCACATGATTGCCCAGGTTAAGAAGACTTCACTGGTGAATTATTCCAAACCTTTAAAATAGCAATAGCAATTTTTCACTAACTGCTCTCCAAAAAAACAAAAACCATAGAGAAGAGATCAGTAAGCAATGTATTTTATGGGACAGTTTCCTCTGATACCACAACTAGACAAAGTCCAAAAAAGGAAAAATATAAATCAATACACTTTATGGATACCCAGGCAATAATCCCCAAGGAAATAATTTCAACACAAATCAGGATTATGAAACGGGTTATACATTATGCAGAGTATTTCTTTACTCAAGATTGCAAATTTAGTAAAACATATAAAAAGAATTATTGTAATACACTGTATCAATACAACACAAGACAAAAGCCTCATTATCACCCCTAAGGATGCTGAATAAGCACTTGACAAATCCAAAATCCACTCACAGTAAAAACACTAAATGAATTTTGCATAGAATGAAATGTTCTTTACATAAAAATGGCATCTATGAAAAACTCATATAACACATGGTATCAAAAAAGTCTCAGTAATTTCCCTAAAATTATAAACACAAAAAGGTTGTCTACTCCCACTAACTAAACATTATGCTTGAGGATTTAATTGACAAAACTAGCCTAGACAAATAAATTTAAGACTTCCAGATTGAGAAGGAAAAAATCAAAGTATCTCTATTTGCCAGTAACATAATCTAATGTATAGAAAATCCTAACGAATCCACTAAAATAAGATAGGAACCATTAAAAAAAAGTTCAGTAATCCTGTAGAATGCAAGATTCATGTAAAAAAATTGCACTCTTATACAATTGATATGGTTTGACCAATCAATTAGGTGTCCCCACCTAAATCCCATCTGGAATTGGAATCCCCTCGTATTGGGGGAGGAGCTTAGTGGGAGGTGACTGGATCATGTAGATTGTTTCCCCCATGCTGTTCTCAGGATAGTGAGCGAGTTCTCAAAGAAGCTGATGATGTTCAAAGTGTTTGGCAGTTTCCTCTTCACTCTCTTTCTGGTGACCTTGTGAAGAAGGTGTCTGCTTCCCCCGCACCTTCCGCCATGACTGTTAAGTTTCCTAAGACCTCCCCAGTCGTGTGGAACTGTGAGTCAATCAAACCTTTTTTCTTTATAAATTACCCAGTCTCGGCCGGGCATGGCGGCTCACGCCTGTAATCCCAGCACTCTGGGAGGCCGAGGCGGGTGGATCATGAGGTCAGGAGATCGAGACCATCCTGGCTAACACGGTGAAACCCTGTCTCTACTAAAAATACAAAAAATTAGCCAGGTGCATTGACGGGCGCCTGTAGTCCCAGATACTCGGGAGGCTGAGGCAGGAGAATGGCGTGAACCTGGGAGGCGGAGCTTGCAGTGAGCCGAGATCGCACCACTGCACTCCAGCCTGGCAGACAGCTAGACTCCATCTCAAAAATAAATAAATAAGTAAATAAATAAATAAATAACCCAGTCTCACATAGTATCTTTACAGCAGTAGGGAAACAAACTAATACAAAAATACAAACTAATCAAATAAAGAAACCAAAAAAAAAATTTCCTTTAACATGCCATCAAAAAGGAAATATATTTGGAAACAAATTTAACATAAGTGTGAGGCAGGCAGATCACGAGGTCAGGAGTTCAACACCAGCCTGGCCAAAATAGTGAAACCCCATTTCTACTAAAAAATACAAAAAATTAGCCAGGCGTGGTGGTTGGCACCTGTAATCCCAGCTACTCAGGAGGCTGAGGCAGGAGAATCCGGGAGGTGGAAGTTGCAGTGAGCTGAGATCACACCATTGCACTCTAGCCTGGGCAACAGAGCAAGACTCTTGTCTCAAAAAAAAAAAAAAAAAAAAAAAAACTACAAGACTCTCTCTATATATACACACACACACACACACACTATATATATATATAGTCTATATATATAGTTTCTGGTAGTCTTGTGTGTGTATATATATATACACACACACACACTGAAAATTACAAATGATACTGAAGATTTAAAGAAATCCTGAATAAATGAAAAAAAAAAAAAACTAGATTTTCACTGATGAGAACGCTATTAGGTACTTACCAAGATACTTACCAAGATGCTTATACTTTCCAAGTGCGTCTGCAGATTCAGTACAATCCCTACAAAAATTCTAGCTTTCATGTTTTTCATTTTTTTGTGATAACTGGACTGCAGATTCTAAAATATACAGGAAAACGCATTTAATCCAGAACACCCAAAAGAATGTATAAAAACGTTTAAAGAAATACCAATGTTATTTATGGAACTTCTGCTCATAAGGAGATGGAGCCTAATTCCCTGCTTCCTACATAGGTGCTGTTCATAGTGACTTTTTTCCAAAAATACATCATGAAAATGGGAACAAATACTAATTTTGTAGTGGAAAAATCTGAGCTACACTGCCTCATACAGGTGATCAAATAACATTAACCATGATAATGCAGCTGGGCAGGGTGGCCCACACCTGTAATTCCAGCACTTTGAGAGGCCAAAGTGAGAGGATCACTAGAGGCCAGGACTTCAACAAAAATCTGGGCAACACAGGGAGGCTACGCCTATACAAAAGTAAAAATAAAAATAAATTAGCCTGGCACGGTGGCACATGCCTGTAGCCCCAGACACTCAAGAGGATGAGGTGGAAGAATCACTTGAGCGCAGGAGCTCAAGGCTGCACTGAACTAGGATCGTGCCACTGCACAGGGCGACACACAGAATGAGATCCTGTCTCATAAAAAAATAAAGCGGGGTTTTGGGGGGGCGGGGGCAGTGGCTGACACCTGCAATCCCAGCACTTTGGGAAGCCGAGGCAGATGGATTACGCGGTCAGGAGATCGAGACCATCCTGGCTAACACGGTGAAACCCCATCTCTATTAAAAATACAAAAAATTAGCTGGGCATGGTGGCGGGCGCCTGTAGTTTCAGCTACTCAGGAGCCTGAAGCAGGAGAATGGTGTGAACCCGGGAGGCGGAGCTTGCAGTGAGCTGAGATCGTGCCACTGCACTCCAGCATAGGCAAAAGAGCGAGACTCCGTCAAAAAAAAAAAAAAAAACAAAAAACCTTTTGCTAGTATATACTGAGTCATCACTGAGCCTGTGCCTATCTCTAAGATCACGGCATGGAGGGTTGGGGGTATATCCTATGCTGCTTGTTCTTTTGTTTTTGTTCCTACTGAGCTTCCTTGACTTACACACAATGCATGTGTATCACTCGCTAACATTCACCTGAGAAAACCCTGATGTGTAAAAATTTACATCCAGGTTTCTGTAAGCAGGGACTGGCCTAAAACACCTCATTAGAAATATTTTTTATACTCTGCTTACCTGCTAGCGTGGAAGCTTTAAGAATGCCAACTGGCATTATAATTCCCCGATGTGAGTGTCCACAGGACGCACGGTCCCAAACAATTCCTGATGGGGTCTGCAGAATTAAAAAGAAAAAAATATATACTAGTACAGGTTTTCTAAAAGGTTGAAAAGCACAGTTGTCTTTTGGTTACTTGTAGAAGAAATCCCTGTACCAAGAAAACATGATCCTGAATGCAGACATACGATTTATGTTCCCTGTCACTGAAATTTCTTATTCTGGGCTTCCAGTATCTGAAAGTCGTATCTCCCAAAAAGGCTTCAGTGGGAGACTGCATATACACTGCTAAATGGCGCCCACAGATGGAGCTTTCTGGGATATGTGAAGGAAAGGCAACTTTCTTTGAAAAAGGGGTTGCTGACATTCAAACTGGTGACTGCGTAATGGGGACAGAAAAAGAGGATGACAGTCCCTGGAGCTTGACGGTGCCTTCCTGAAGCAGGTGCACCCGGGTTGAGAAAGGTGACTAGATACGAAAAGCTAGTTTTCTATTCTCGCCCTACAAGTTATTTTGTCTCTGGAGGCCAAATTTTTGGCTTATGTCTTTGTTTTCTTTTTATAAAACAAATTAACAATTTTGAAAAACATTTACTTTGAAGTAACTGCACATTAACAAAAAACACACTGGTAGTATAGAGAGATTTATATAACCTTCAGCTAACTATGATGTTATTATCTACTACAACAATAATATAGTTTTAATGAAAAGTAAGAATTTAACTGTTTTTCAAAACTATTCGCTGATCTACGCACTTTCTTCCTATTTTACCATGATTTCTAATAACGATACACGTATCTATTCCAGGACCTAATCCAGAATGCCACCTTAAAATTACTGTCAGTTATATTACTTATTACTTTGTGTGTAACAAATTACTATATACCTAAGTGGCTCAAAAACCACACACATATTACTCACAGTTTCTCTGGGTCTTCAGTCCAGATGCAGATGACGGCCCAGGCTGAGGCTCAGCTGGGGAAAGGTCTCCTTCCAAGCTCTCATGATTCTTCTTAGGATTCGCTTCCTCGCCCCAGTCAAGATAATTCATTAGTGAGTTATTGGAATCACTTAAACAATTAATATTAACATATAATACATTATTAAAAACAACAACAACAAAGTGGAGAAGACATCGCATTTCATTTATACTATGAGTTAGTTTACCCTGATACCACAACTAGACAAACAGATTTCATATAATGAAAATTAAAAATAACACACCTTATGAATATAGACCCAAAAATCATCAAGGAAATCCCAGCAAAACAAATCAGCAACATGTAAAAAGTATTATAAAATATGTCAAGGGTATTTACCTTAGGAAAGCAACATTTGGTACAACATTCAGGGACAATTAATGCCATGCACTATATTAATATACTAAAAAAAAAACCACATAATCATCTCAAAAGATGCAGAAACACCTGAGAATTCCTGAACTCACTATGATAAAAACATGCAGCAAATAAGGCAGATAAGAGAAGTCAAACTGTTTGCAAATGACATAATCTTATGTATAAAAAAATCCAAAGGACTCTAATAAAATATATTTAAAACTTAAAGATGAGTAACAAACTTGCAGAATATAGGGTCAACATATAAAATCATTTGAATTTCTATACACTAGCGATTAACAATCTAAAAACAAAACTCAGAAAACCGTTCCACTTGAGATGCCATCGAAAATAGGCATGTTTATTAAATTAAGTGTAAGGTATGTACATAAAAACTACAGAAAACATATTGAACAAAATTAAATAAATAGAAAATATTTTAATGTTCATTGCTTAGAAGGGTTAGTGCTGTTAGGATGGCAATATTTTCCAAATAGATCTATAGATTTAATGCAACCTCTACCAAAATCCCAGGTGATATCTCCTTCCTCAAAATTAACAAGGTAATTCTAAAGTTCATATGCAATGCAATAGATCCAGAGCAGCCTAAATAATCTTGAGTAAGAAGAGAAAGGTTGGCATTGTAGACATCTACTTGCTGATTTCAAAACTTACTATTAATACAGACCAGCACAGTGACCCATGTCTGTAATCTGAGCACTTTTGGAGGCTGAGGTGGGCAGAGCACTTGAGGTCAGGAGTTTGAGACCAGCCTGGCTAACATGGTGAAACCCTGTCTGTACTAAAAATCCAAAAATTGGTCATGGTGGCTCTTACCTGTAATTCCATCTACTTGGGAGGCTGACGCACGAGAAATGCTTGCACAAGAACTGCTTGAACACAGGAGGTGGAGGTTGCAGTGAGCCAAGATTGCACCACTGCCCTCCAGTCTGGGAGACAGATCAAGACTCTATCTCAAAAAAAAAGAAAGAAAAATTTACTATTAATACAAAAGAATATGAATCAAGATTTATGGTACTAGTATAAGGATTTACATATTGATCAATAGAATATAATGCTCAAAAATTAATCCTTACATTAATGATGAAATAATAAATGGCCAAATAAATTAGGTATAGAGTTTTTTTTACCAAATGTTTCTGGAAAATGTAGATATCCATAGGCAAGTCGGACTCCTGCCTCACACCACAAACAGAATTGACTCAAAATAATCATACATCTAAATATAATAGCTAAATAGGCCCAAACCATACACAAAACACAGAAGTACATCTTTATAATCTTAGGTTAAACAACGTTTTCTAAGATATGACACTGAAAACACAGGAAAAGAAGAAATAGATGTACTGAACTTCATTACAATTAAAACATTTTGGGATTCAAAGAACACCATCAAAATTAGAAACCCAAGGAATGAGAGAAAATATACGTAAATTTTACAGGTAATAATGGTTTATTATTCAGAACATATGACAATACCTTACAAGTTGAAAATAAAAAGGCAAATATCCCAATCAAAAATAGAAAATTATTCGCTTAGCCATTTCTCCAAAAAATCTAGTCATATCCAAAAATCACATGAGAAGACATTCAATGCCTTTTGCCATTCTGAGGTGGGAGAATGGTATCACTTGTTTTCTGTTAGCAATCCTACTGACCAAAACAAGATCTGTTCCACACAGGATAAAGTAAAGAAACCAACAGGAACCAGTAGATGGACAAAAGCGATCCTGCCATCCTCATTAGCATAAGACACTCCATCAGCACCATGATTGTTTACAAATTCCACAGCAACAACCTGAAAGTTACCAGCCATTTAAATGGCAATGACCCATAAGTTACTGCTCATTTCCTAGAAAGTTCTAAATAACCTACCTCTCAATTTGTATTGACCCAACCCTCAATTTTCATGTAACTGAAAGCAGATTTATGTTACTGTAAATACAGTTATCAAGAGCCCATAGATTGCCAACTTTGGATAGACTGCTTCAGAGTTAGCCCTGCTCTGCAAGGAGACGTACTATAAAAGATTGCTAACACCACCGGTTCACCCTTAAATTCTTTACTTGGCAAAGCCAATAACCCTCCAAGCAAAGCCCCAATTTTGGGTCTCACCTATCCTGTAAAAATTAGGTTAAGTCAAATCCAAACAGCCACGGGATTATACTTCAAATTCTAAAAAAAGTATTGCTAAGTGGAAAAATTTAAGTTGGAAAAGGCAAAATACTGTGTAATTTCATTTATATGACTTTATAGAAAAGGCAAAAGTATAGGCAATAATAAAGAGTTTGGTGGTAACAAGGGGCTTAGAAGAGAAAAAGGTGGAATCAGTTAACTACCAAGATTTCTTTTGGGCAGTGAAATTACTCTGATACTGTAATGGTGGATATCTAATCATGTTTTCAAAATCCTGAAGAACTTTGTAACACAGAGTGTACCTAAGTTATGCAAATTAAAAACTTTATTTAGGAGGTAGAGGCTTTCCAGGGAGGAATGCCCACAATATAACTATGTAATGAATGTATGGAATAACCTCACTAAAGAAAATGGAGGAAAGCAGCCGACCTAAGTAATTTAGGAAATAAATGGTCATTGAGGCCAAAAGCCAAAGGTTTACACCTTAGCAGTATACTTTAATTGGTAAAGTTGTTTCCCATGGGGGTATAATTCTGAAGCCACTGTATACATATGCTCAGGTGGTGTGATTAAGTGAACAGCACCAACTTGCTCACAGGGAGAGTGGCAGACTACATACACATGAGAATGATCCATTCATATGGTGCTGGATTAGATCACATGGTATTGGAAACCTTCGTAGAAAATACACAATTAGCCTGGAGCACATTAAATACAGGTAGCCTAAAGCACCTAGTAGTGACTGAACAAAGAAAATGCTAACCAACAACAAAACCAACCAACCAACCACACAATGTCTAACCATAATCATGGGGATATTTCAAAATGACACCAGAGACAACCAAAAAAAACCTTCCAATCGCCAACATTGGAACAATTTGAGCAATAAAATAAATAAATTAGCATATACAAAGTGTAAAATAAATATCAATGTTTTGACATAAATAATTTATGTATAAATAAGTATGAAATTAAAACATAATAGAAACCTGTTTATGGTGAAAGTTCAAATAAATTTGTACACACTCTGCCAATAAGGAAGTAGACCATGAATCCTCCACTTAAGTTCATATTCTGTATAGTGACTTTGTTCTGAAACATATTACATGGAAAAGAAAAAAAAGGCTAATTTCGTGGTGTGAAAATTTGATAAAAATGACTTAATCTAGGTGATCACATTAATATCAACAGTGATAAGGCCTGCTGATAGTCTACGTCCTTGGTATGATGTGAGGAGAATGGCACCTCTCCTCTGTGACCTTCCTTTCCTAAAGCAAAATCCAGTCTTACCCTAAAAGAAATATCAGAGAAATCCTAAATTAGGAATGTCAATGTCATCAAAGACAGAAAAATTCTGAGAAATGGTCGCAGACAGAGAAGTTGAAGGACATGAGAAATCTGTGATGAGGTATCCTGGATGAGATCCTAGAACAGAGACTGGACATTAAGTGGAAAGTAAGAAAATCTGAATAAAGCATGGAAAGTAGTTAATGACAATGTATTGTGATACATGTCCTACATTAATGTAAAGTTAATAAAAAGGGAAACTTTGTGAGATATATGGAAAGTCTATTTACCACATTTACAACTGTTCTGTAAACCTAAAACAATTCTTATATTTATGAGGTATCTTGTTCTTTAAAGTTACTGCTGACATTATAAAACAGAACAATATTTTTGATGGCCCTTAGTGCATCTCCTTAGCTTCATCATCTTCCTTAATCACTGAAGGAAGCTATTACTGTGAATTATTTCTTATCCTCTAATTTGTGTATATTATTTACCTGTATGTTTATATTTCTATTATCTGTAATGTTTAGTTTTTCTTATCTTTGAACTTAGAAGAATGTGTTTCATGGATTCATGTCCCTGGCTTAATCATGAGAAATTATGAGACAAATCCATATTGTGAGACATCCTACAAAATATCTAACACTTTTTAAAATGATCAAGATCAAGAAAAATAAGACCATGAAACTTGCAGAATGGAGAAGACCTGATGTGTCAGACAGAGCCTAAGATGGTGCCCAATGACTCCCCATGTAAAAAATATCTGTCCTTGGTTGAATAGACTCCTCTGTGTCTCACTTGACCAACACACAAGAACTCAACTTTTTTTCCAATTCAGAGCTCTCCAAGGCAGTGGCTGCCTTGGTGGGAATGCAGTGGACACAGGTCTGACAAATGCCACAAGGGTGCCTGACAGTGTAAACAAACATTCTGTGAGAAGGTTGCCTGGGTCAAGGATTGTGCACTTAGGCATTGGGTCATCTGCCAAAATAAGTAACAATCCCACGGAAGGCACACTGTAAATATCCAGGACTCGAGTCCTGTTGGGCATGGCTATAATTTATAGCCACTGTCCCAAGAAAGACCTCAAGAGAATATGAGACATAACAAAAATACAGCAGATATGGAAAGGTAACTTTATCAATTATGGCTCAAAGATCCCATGGAGGCCAGGTGCAGTGGCTCAGGCCTGTAATCTCAGCACTTCGGGAGGGAGGCTGGTGGATTGTGAGGTCACGTGTTCAAGACAAGCCAGGCCAAATTGTGAAACCCAGTCTCTATACTAAAAATACAAAAAATTAGCCTGGCGTGGTGGCAGGCATTTGTAGTCCCAGCTACTCGGGAGACTGAGGCAGGAGAATGGCATGAACCTGGGAGGTGGAGCTTGCAGTGAGCCGAGATTGCACCACTGCACTCCATCCAGACTGGGTGACAGAGTGAGACTCCATCTCAAAAAAAAAAAAAAAAAAAAGATAAACAAGTAATTTTAAAACATCACAAGGAGAAGGAAGACAGAAATAGTACTAAGTGTTACATAAAAGTTTGCATCAGTAAAGGTACTTTGTGAATTTTCTTTCTTTTCACTTTGATAATCTTTGCATTTAATTGGTACACTGTCTATTCACATAAATGTTGTAACCGATATTTAGATTTAAACCTCATAATGTATTTGATTTCTATTTGTCCTATTTGTTCTATATTTTCTCTCCCTTTTTGCCTCATTATTCCACTATCGCCCTGTATTAGCTTTATAGTTATATGTTTTGCTTTTTGCTGTTCTTTTAGTGGTTACCCTATAGATGACAGAGCAGTCTAATATTACTTATAATCTTCTTTCTGATAATTGTTAAGGACCTTAGAATTCCTGCACCAAATGTATATATTGTCACGTTTTAACATTATTTAAAAAAAAAGTTTGCATCAGACTGCAGCTCTCTGAAGACAGAAGAATCTGTATTTTGAGACTTTCCCTTAATCTTAGAAATATAAGCAGAGATTATTCTAAGCTACTTTCCAAATCCAATTCTTCATCCAGTTCAACTACTTATCTTTTTCTTCCTCCCCTTTCATCCTTCGTATCTCATGATCTCATGAATGATGGTCATGTGAATCTCACTGTAAGCAGGGACTGCAGACGCATGTGAACTGCGATTTTCATGAAATGCTTTGCTCTGACCGCTTGTCACTCTTGTCAACTCCACATCTATGAAAAAGTCACATAACAACAAACAAAGACATATAAGCCAATAGAATAGAGTACTCCAAAATCAATCTTCAGGGCAAACTTATTTACAAGGT